GGTCCCCAGGCCCAGCGTAGAGCGCCAAAGACTCCCGCCGCTTCTTCTCCTTCTCTTCGTTTGCCACCAAAGGGCGGCCCTTGTCTCCGCCCTCGCCGTCCTTGCCGCCCTTGCCCCCATCCTTGCCCTCGTCCTTGCCTTCGTCTCCAGAACTTGCCACCAAGTTGACGGCAGACTCCAAGCAGCGAGGGCTGACTGGAGGAGTCTCTCGGGCTGGCGAGGCCAACTTCGCCTGCTTGCCCCTCGCACGCTTCGGCTCCGCAGCAGGTCGCTTTTTGCTCGCGCCAGGCTCTTGGCTCTGGTGCCCTTGGCGCCCTCGCCCCCTTCCACGACCGCGTCCACGGCCACGCCCTTGCCCCTCTCCTGCCGCGGCCTCAACTTCCGCCAGATCATTCACAGCAACCGCCTTGGCGGCCTTCGCCTTAGCCAGCTTTGACACACCCTTCTTGGCATTCTTGTAGTCTTGCTGCTCCTGCCTGGTAACTACCGGCACACAGGGGATTCCACCCTCCCGCTCTCCGACTGCAACTGAGGGCTGGCTCTCATCCTTGAACTTCCTCTTCTTGGCCATGGCCTTCTCCTGCTTTGGCTGCTTTGCGCTGCTGTCCGCCTCTTTATTCTCCATGGCCACGATATCGCACTCGCCGCCCTTCTCGCCTTCCGTCTCTGCAGCTAGGCCACCCTTCTCAGCGTCCAGGTCCATGCCCTCGACGCCCTCCATGCGCTTCTCTTCCGCCACCTTGTTCTCAGCCTCAGGCTCGGCGCCCTTCACGCCCTCGTTGTCCTCATGCTCGACACCCTTCGCGTCCTCCCTGCCGACAAGCTGGCCCTGCTCGAGCCCCACTGCGTCTTCCTTGTCCACGTCCTCCTTGCCGACAAGCTGGCTGTTCTCATCGACACCTTTGTCCGCGTCCTCCTGCTGACTGCCCTGCTCGACGCCCTTCGTGTCTCCCTTCTCATCCTTCTCAACGTCCTCCTTACCGACAAGCTGGCCCTGCTCAGCGTCCTCGTTGCCCAGGTACTCCTTGTCGACGAGCTGGCCGCCCTGCTTGACATTCAGCGCGTTCTTCTTCTCCAGGTCCTCCTTGTCAAAAAGCTGGCTGCCCTTGGCGCCCTTTGCATTCTCCTTTTCCAAACCCTCCTTGTCGACAAGCTGGCCGCCCTTCTTCACGACCCTCGTGCTCTCCTTGCCCACAAACGCCTGCTCACCCTTCTTGATGACCCTCGCTTCCACGCCCACAGCCTGGCCACCCTGCGCAAACTCGTGCCCCTCCTTGCCCGCAAACTGCACCGCCGTGCCCTTCTCCAGCTCTGCTTGGCTACCGTGCTTGGCCTCCTTGACCTTCGCCGCAGCCCGCACACCCTCCTTCGCATCCTGGTCCGCCTCCACCGTGTATGGGTCGGTCAGCACGGAGTGCTTGGGGTCAGGAGAAGGCTGACTGGGAGGAAGCTCCTTGCCCTGCTCGGCCCTCATCTCCATGACTTCCTGCTGCCAGTCCTCTGGCAGGTCCCAAGTCTTCTGAGTATGGAAGGCGTAGGACTTGGGAGAGAGGCCAAATGTATTCGACGATTCAGCTGTTGATGCTTGTTCCCGCGAAGCGTGCTCCACAGCTGCAAGCCTCACAGAATCATCGTCCATCGGCAAAGTGTCCAGTCCATCCGTGCCTGGCAAAAATTGTCGCTTTGAAGTGAGGGGGTCAAACAGTCACTTACCAGGGCCAATGATTTGTGTTGTTTGAGCTAGACCCTTGAATTGAGTCGACCCTCAGTCTTGCAAACGAAGACAGGTGCTCCCGAGTTTGGCCTAAGAACCAACAAGAGAGAAGATCGATGCTGAATTGCTGCCCAATCGCAGCCGGCTGGCGTCTCAGGTGCAGGCTTGGCAGAGCGCTTCTTCAAAATCAGCTGCCTCAGGCTTGGCACGGGCAGTTGGGACAGGAGAGTTGGCAACCTTCAGAACGGAACGGAATGATCAGAGCGAAAAGTTCTGTTAAACGAAAAACAAGAATCTTGAGGGCTTGCGCCCTGGCTTCCACGTGCTCCCTTTGCATTGATGGGGCCACACCTTCCAAAAAGGCTGGCACTGGCGGCAGCGACTGGGATAGCTTTTGCGGCACAGTGTTGGGCAAAGTGGGGCTGGGCTGCTCTGGCGTGGGCTTGGGTACAGGGGCTGGGGGCTGAGTTACCCTGGCTGCCCTTGAAGCTGTGGGAGTTGCAGGTGCTGATGTTGTATCAGAAGGGGAAGCTTCGCTCGTAGTGGTTCCCTCGCCATCATCACCATCAACCCCTTGAAAATCGGCCCAGTGCTCAAGCAAAATGCCAAAGAACTTTTCAAGCGCAGGTACCTTTGTTGCAACGGCCACTCAAGGTCGACCCACAATAAACACTTGGGGAAATGAGACAAAACACGTCAAAGGTAACAGCAAAATCCGGCACTGAAGTTGGGCAAAAGACCCGGGTTGAGTCGGAGGCTGAAAAGCGCCGGATGCCCCTGGAAAATAACACCTTCATGCCAGCCCCATCGAGCTGGACCATGGCAGCATCTTCATCTCGGCCAGTCAATTTGCGAAGCTCACGAACCTTCAGGGCTACCAAGCAGTGTGACTGAAGGGTGCGAAACAGAATTTGGAAACGTTGGATTTCCTTTCATAATTTGGTAACCCTCTCCTCCGACCGAAGGTACTCGATCGGAATCGCCCGTGGCCAAGGGCTACAGGGGCACCAGATGGTTGCCAAAATCTCTAAAGGGGTTGTGTTTAGAGCCATGGCAGCAGTACTGGGAATGCCCACTGACTTGGCATTGCTCCAACGGGTCATGCAGGGCTTTTCCGGTGTCTGAATGCGTGCCCGGATGCTGGAGTCAGCCTCCCAAGCTCTCGCAAGCACCCCCGGCGCAGGCAGAAGACAAGTTGACATGGCCAGGTCCTTATGCAAAGCAGAGCGAGTGACCTGATCCCAAACGGCTGCACGCATGTGCTTCAGATGCGATTTCCACGCCTTTGACGCGGATACATGTCAAATCAGAGACACTTGCCACATCAGGGTCACTTGGTGATGTTGCCGAGGCCAGCATTGAGAGCACCGGGAACCAAGCGCTCCCGCCCGTCAGGTAGTTGGCACCATGCGTGGAACTGCTTTCTGTGTATTGATAGCCCTTTCGGCAAGTGTTTTCTATTGTTTCCTCGACTTGCATTGATTTAGCTTGGTCATGGTGCCTTCTGATGTTGATTCCATCTTATGTGGATCTAGCTGTCGCCTTCCATGAAAAGAGGAGCGAGCGGGAAGCCACAACCCCCAGCACAAACTGCCCCAGACCTGCAAACCAGGAGAAAGACTCAGAACTGCCCGAAGGCAGAAACAAGCGCCGCCTTCCTGAAGAGGCAGTTTTTTTTGAAAGAGCAAGAAAAAACAATCATTGGAAGACGTAGGTATATATATATTTTCTACATAGCCACTTTGGAAGGGGGGTCACTATTTAAACTCACAGCCATATATGCTATATGTATAATATACACATCTGGCCATGGGTCAAAATCCAAAACGTGCCCCCAGTGAACATCCCAATCCCACTAAAATAGGTTCTAAAATGGGTGGTGCACCTACCCCAAAATCGTGCCATTGGTTTTGACCCACAGCCATCTTGGTCTTTGAAGCCCCACACATGGTTGGGCGCTTTAACCCATGTTTGGGTTCTTTAGGACATGTTCTTGCATATGCGCAAAGCCCATGGCTTGAAGTCCCGAAGGCCTGAATTTCTCCAGGCCTCTTTCTGGCTGGAAAGTTCCACAGAGCCCATCCTCATTGGCTGTACGTGCCAACGGATTCGGACACTAAATGGTGCACTTCCCACGTTGGTTTCCCTTTGGCACGCAAAATAGGTACCCTCCCAAAAAATCGTATACGAGGCTGGGGGGGCCTGTTTGAGGGGTTAGGCTTTGGAGTGGTGGCCCCTTCTTTGGAGTTGAGCATAAGAAAATGACATTCAAAGAGGCATCCCCCATTTGCTTACCCTCTTCCCACTAACATAGCACCTCACAGTCCCTTTGCAAGGAACTGATCTTGCAGGTACCCTATGGCCGCATTTGTAGAAAGTTGCTTTCCAAGGGTTGCTTTGATGGACAGCTTTTGTTCATCCCCCAAAACAAACCAGGATGCTGAGCAACACTCTATCAGAATTGGCAATGCTGACCCAACCCAACCCGCAACCGAGACCCAACCCAGACACCTTACCCTTTAAACAGGGGGTCATGTCAAAGCAAACCTTACATTAGCTGAAAAACGTGCCTTTGGACACCCTTTTGACTTGTTAATCAGAAAAAAACAACAACAACAAAAACCGGTGCGCGAGTGTGGACACAGTCGAAAGGGCCCAGCCTTTGATGCCCTTTCTACCTTTTGGAGGGATTGATTCCCCATTCTTTTCAGCCATCGTCCTTTTCAAAAGCCGATCGACTTTTCCCTTTGGGTTTTTGGTGGTTTCCTGGAAAGCAGGATCCCTGGAAAGAATGGAAATGGGAGGTACCCCTGGACTCTTAGATAGATGCGTTGGCTTTTCGTTGGAGGCGGACCCCCCGCTGCCCACGAACTTAAAAAAAAACCAAGGTTTCCTGTGAAAAAGGTGAAAAACCAGGTTTTTGTCTAAAGAATGGAAATGGAAGGAACCCCCAGAAAGATCCCAAAGAAATGTGGATCGGCCTTGAGAAGAAGGCTCTCTCAAGACCCTGGCCGCTTCTTGGCCATGACTTTCTGAGCGAAACAAAACACAGCTTGGCGGAAGTAGTTGACCCCAGCCAAGAAAAAAGAAGGAATTATATGTTGCCTGGTAGTGGAAAACAAAGGGAACCCCAAAAAGGCCAAAAGAAAAAAAGGGCGCTAATCTTGGGGAAGAAAGTAAATGAGTATCTTTTCGAGCTAGCTTTTGTTTGGGTTGGTTTAAATACCTAAATGGGCATGGACCCCCACAAGGGAATGTTTGCGGCAGCCAAAACAGCGAAATGCGCCTGGACCCATTCTGCCTGAGTCTTACCTGAGCAGCGAAGTGCAGGAAAGTAACGCGGACATGGATGAAACTGCAGGCGTAAATGAATCTTAGGGGCATTGTCAGGCCAACAATCAACATCTGGGCAGATGCAGGTATAAAGCTTTGAATTTGCGACACTCCCAACCATGAATATGTTCGCATTTCTGGCCTGACCCCTTGAAGACCAGGCTTTGATTCTGATTCAGATATGAGTTCTGGAAGTATGGAGGCAATGGATGTGCATCTCTTCAACAAAGCGCATAAACTGCCTTGCAAGCGTTTGTCACTTGTCTATACAACTGCTAGGTGTCCAAGTGCCAACCTGGCTCGGGTTCAGGCACTGGCAAACACGGGCCCTCTGCGAGCAGGGCCAAAAAACCCTCCGGTCATGAGTGGTTTTTGTTACAACACATAGCTCCAAACCTCCAAAACCAGGAATGGGAAGGTGGCCACGACTCACTGCCAATATGTCCCGCAAGCCGAAAAAACCCAAAACACATAGCCGATCTCAAAACCCCGGGCGGCCTCCTTTTTCCAGGTCTCCTTGTGGTTCCTGCGTTTTGCGCTTCCTTTGCTTCCGGGGAGGGTGGAGTTCCAACGCGAACAACCTCAGCCTTTGCACCAACCAAAATTGATGTGTGCGAGATTCTGGTCGATATTTGGTGAACCGAAAACGCCAAATCGAATCAACACAGATCCCAGATAAGTGCGTAAGGCAGTAAATACCGCTTGCGCAAGCACTAACCTCCATACCTGAAGAACAAATACTTGAGACATGGGTATTGTCAGCCATACAGAATCAAAAGGCCGGTGTGCTTCAAAAATGGGTGCGGATTTATTTTGGGTGCTTAAAACATTCCAAACAAAACGAAAAAACATCCTAAAACAAATACCCCTCCTTCAAAAATAGAGGTCTAAACAATGGTTTCAACCAGTGGACCAGGGGCCGAATCTCGCCTAAGGACGTGCGGGTTGATGTTTGGGGGGTCCAAATGACACCGGGGGAGCCGCTCCTCTCGCGATTCTGACTTGGATCTCCTGCAAACAAAATCGCCCGGCCAAATCAAAGCAACAAACATAGACAACAAACAAACACGCAAACACACAAACAAACAAGCAAGCAAAAGAAACAAACAAACAAACAAACAAACAAACAAACAAACAAACAAACAAACAAACAAACAAACAAACAAACAAACAAACAAACAAACAAACAAACAAACAAACAAACAAACAAACAAACAAACAAACAAACAAACAAACAAACAAACAAACAAACAAACCAACAAACAAACCAACAACAAACAAAAAAACACGTTAAAAAAAAAAAAAAAAAACACAAACAAACAAACAAACAAACAAACAAACAAACCATCAAACAAACAAACAAACAAGAACGGCTCAACAAGGAGCCGTGCTGTTCTTAGTGAAACCAACAATAAATACCCTGTGCTGAAATGAAATTTGATCACGCTTGACTCCCATGAGCCAGTGTCAAAATGATGTCTTCCCCCAAAAGGACATGCGGAAAATGGCGAGTCGCTTGGGTTTTGAGGGGGAAACGCCTCGTGAGCCCAGCCAAATATCTAAGGGTTGATTCCCCATTCTTTTCAGCCATCGTTCTTTTCAAAAGCCGATCGCCATTTCCCCAGGGTTTTTGGTGGTTTTCTAGAAAGCAGGATCCCTGGAAAGAATGGAAATGGGAGGTACCCCTGGACTCTTAGACAGATGCGTTGGTTTTTCGTTGGAGGCGGACCCCCCGCTGCCCACGAACTTAAAAACGAAGGTTTCCTGTGAAAAAGGTGAACAACCAGGTTTTTGTCTAAAGAATGGAAATGGAAGGAACCCCCAGAAAGATCCCAAAGAAATGTGGATCGGCCTTGAGAAGAAGGCTCTCCCAAGACCCTGGCCGCTTCTTGGCCATGACTTTCTGAGCGAAAAACAGCTTGGCGGAAGTAGTTGACCCCAGCTAAAAAAAAATACCCCTAGAAAAAAATAGGATCCCTGGAAAGAATGAAAAAGCTACCCCTAGAAAGATCCCAAAGAAGGAATGGACATGGAAGGAACCCCTAGAAAATAGGCCACAGCTTCTCCCGAACTCCAGGCCCGGAACTCCTACCAGGTGAAGACCCATCCGTCGCGGGAACTCAAATCGTACCAGAAGGAACGTCCGATTCAATCCAACCACTAAAATGAATTCTGGGGGTAGGTTCGCGGTGGCCATGGGTCAAAATCCGAATCGTACCCCCAGTGAACCTCCCAATCCCACTAAGATAGGTTCTAAAATGGGTGCACCGACCCCAACATGGTGCCATTGGTTTTGAACCATGGCCACATGGCACTGGGAATCTGTGAGTCTCTGACCTCGTTTTGTTGTCCGCGTTCAAAAGAACTCCAACTCTACCTCACCTGTTTGCCCCTTAGCCTCAGCCGTAGTTTCGCCACGGTGCTGGTACGATCGAAGAGGCTTTCCGCTTGCCGCCGGCCTGGCAAGCGAATTCTACCCCGGGCCCCGAGCTGATGCTAACATCCATGGCAAATGAAGTTCATTTGGCCCCAAGCCGACCTGATCTAAGCCGACCTAAGCCGCGAAATCTACTTGGTCCCGGCCCCCGAGCCGACCGCGAAGCCATGGAGTTCCTTTCCCCGGCGCGCCGATTCTTATGGGCACGGGAAGCCTCCCCATGCGACTTGGCACCGTGGGGTGGCCAATAAAAATCGGAGCGTGGGAGAGAAAAGGGCGAATTATTTGTTTGGTTAACCTGTGAAGCAATCGGAATTCATTTGGTTGGTTGACTGTAAAGGAATCGGGGCTGAAAAACGGAAACGGTCTTCTCCATGAGCCGATGTATCTCCAAGATTCCGAGGAATGGCATGTGCTCGGACCCTGTCGCTAGCCAATGCGTCCCTTTCCCAGAAAGGCCCCTTCCTGTGGTGCTAAAGTGGGATTTTCCCATCCCGACCACTTCACAGGGGAATCCCCACATCACAAACCAACAAATGCCAAGCGCAACTCCGTTCCCACGCGAGTCGCGGTCGAAATGTGCTGTTCCCGTGAAGGACATGATCAAACTGGAGTTCCAGCCCATGATTGTGGTCTGAAAAAGAGCAAAAGCGCAAGAGACTTGCCTGCTCTGGTGGGAAATGACCGATACCGAAGTGGGTCAGTCGCTCACACGTTGGGACTCTAGCTCACAAAAAGCGGCAACCTACCCGCCCCATTTTCCAGGCTGCCTTCTTTCAAAGCTGCTTCCACCAAGTCCCGACTCTTCTGGTTCCTCGATGCCCCACCGCGGCCGGATTCGGTACGAGAAGCCGCTCGACACCCGTTCAACGTGGTCCGACAAACAAGCCAAACGCCACTGCGACCTGAGCTTCATTTGGCCATGGGTCAAAATCCAAATCGTACCCCCAGTGAACATCCCAATCCAACCACTAAAATAGGTTCCAAAATGGGCGCAGCCATTTGAATGCCCGAAGGCACGGGAAGTCTATATGAGATGCCAATGAAATGCTGTGAAGAGCGTGCCATCAGTACTCCCCTGCAAAACGCACGGAAACAAACAGTCCACTACAGAAAATCCATAGAAACAAGCTGAGTTCAGCCAGGCACACTTGAAGCGAAACAGCCACGCAAAAGTTTGCGAGCACACCCCTCTACGAATTCCACATGAAAGGAATACCCACACCCAGCGCACGAACGGAGCCCAACCCAGCTGAAGGCAGGTTTCATCTGTCTGCTCTGCGTTTTCAAGTTGGGAAGTCCTTTGGGATGCATCGTAGCATGCTACGCTTTGGATGGCAACGGAACTAGCCGCAACTAGCCCCATTTACGACCCAACAATCGTGGTCGAAGCCTTACCCCGGCGTGGGATGGTCCAAGTAATTCGCATCCTAGCTGACAACGAACCACCGAGATCAACGGGCCGTCTCGGCTGGCCAACACGCAAATAGCAGTTGTTTTTTCTTTTTTTCCCGGTATTCATAGGGCTTCATCCAAACTAATGCTGAACTTTGGCCAATCGGCAGGTGCTCACAAGGAAACTTCAAGAAATCCAGGCGGTGACAATTCAGATTTGGTATTTACCTGGTTGGGGTCGCCCTTGTGAACCTCAGGAAGCAGCGGGGAAACCAAAAGAAGCCGTGGCCAAACCTGCAGTCAGGGGAACAAAGGAGAGCAGCCTTGTTTGGCTTGATGAAATCAGCTTCCCTCAAAACGGGTGGTTTGGAGCCTGCTCGTATGGAGGTTAGGGAGGCTTTTCCATTTACCCACAAGAACCGGTTCAAATCCCCAAACCATCAATCCAAACCGCAAATGAAGGAGTATCTGAATCTTCCAGGGCTTCCTCTCCCAGAACCCCGAGCAGATTTGGGCCCTGTGCGCCCGTGTTCCAAAAGCCGAGAAAACAACACAAACAACCTGCACCTGGAGGTCTGGGGTTGCCACCAGAGCAAGGATGTGGTGTACCAGGTCACTAACCAACCTAGGTCCTCCAGTAGAGAGGTTAGAATAAGGCTACCCTTTCTCTGTAGTCCATTTCTGTAGGGGAACCCTCCCCAAAAAAAAGGTGAGAAAGGGCACTACTGGCGGACCTAGCAACATATCATAAAAAGTGTACATCGGGTGTAGCTTGGGCTTGCAGCATGGTTGCGGGGGAAATAACTCTTTCTGCGATACAAACATGGGCCATCCCTACGACTACTTCGTCGCAGAACAGGGGGGGTCCTTGGTATCACAGAAAATTGCGCTAAAACCACATTTTCCACAACCACTGGGCATATGTGCCCTTCTAGAACAAATAGATGGCCCTTGTAAACGGAATGAAACCGATCTAAACCAGCGCAATTTAGTTTTAACCAAACTAACCTGACAAGGACACCTTATGCCACTGGGTGGCAATGCTCACCCCATATTAATCAACCCCAGTTTACAGATAGGGGGGGTGCGGGCCCCTCCAAGAGTGGTCTGATTCCCCACACACCCCGCCATTTCATAAACTGGGGTTGATTCACAGCGCCGTGTATTTTTAACCAAACCAACCCATGAAAATGTCACCCATGCCCACTGGGGCCACTGGGGGGCCTCGTTAGCAGCCTCTCAAAAGCTGTCCCCCGCTTTTCGGCGGCCCGAGCCGAGGCGCATGCGGAAGGCCAATCGCTGGCGCTCCCACTGCTTGCGCTCCGCCACCCAGTAGGGCTCGCACCCATTTTGGCGCACGAACTGGGAGTAGCACCTCGGAATCCTAGACAACTCCCGCCATCCAGCCTTGGTTGCTGTTGACCCCCCTGCAAAAAGTTTTTGAGTTTTGGGGGGTTTAGTGGAAAAGCCCAACTTGATTTCAACTAAAAAGTTGAAGTCTAAAGATCCGTTGCCCAATAGCAGTCAAGCAGCACCACTTCCGGTTCATTCCTAACTTCCGGACTCGTTGTCATTCCCTACCTATCGCACCAACCAGCAAAAAGTAACCCACAAAAATATCGATGGGATTTTCTAGGTTCATTCTCAAACCCTGGGTCATTCCCTAGCTATCGCACCAGCAAGAAAAAACAAAACGGAAGCACCCGGATCGATCGGGGTCTTGACCACGCCGCTTGCGGGAAGGCCCGTTTCGGCGAATTTTGTCCCATGTCCAAAATCCCCCTCCGTCCAAGCAGGTGAGGGGGGGTGCTGGATGGCAACCTCCAAGTGTCCCCACGCCGCATGGAGAGATCAATCTCTGGAAGGGACCATTTGCCTGTGAAGTGCCATGGTGGGAAGTGACTTAACTAGTTGGGACCTTCAAGGAGTAACTTGCCAGGGAATGAGAAAGGGAATGAGCCCAATCAAAACCAAGCTCGTTTCCTCGTGGATCCGCTCCCCTTCCGCTTTCCCCAGCTCTATTGTTGTGGAGAATCACCCTTTCTGCATCTTGTTTGGCCATTGCAGACGACCACCCTCTTGTGATGACCGGCCAGAAACTTCTGACTTGAGATGACGTGCGTGACGCGACCCTTTCTGTGACACCAGTCTGGGGCCATTCCAATAGCTTCGTCGCTTTCAAGGGAGGTTGTTGTGGCAACTCTTCAGTGACCCTGGAAAAACAGGGAACCCTTGTTGGGGAAGACCTTTTTTGTGGGGCAGCCACCAAACAAAAAAGGGAAAAAGGCTGCCACATGTGCCACTGAACAAAGGCAACAAAAGTGGCAACAAAGAAAAACACATTTCACACGACCCAGCTTTTGCATGCCCGGTAGCTGCGCGGAGTTCAAGGGCTCATCCGAGTGCTTCTGGAAGATGCACCTGGCCCATTGTTTGAGGGGGGGGCCTGTTTTTTGTTGTTTTCGTGTTTTCCTTATATTTTTCCAAAGATTTTCTCGAAAATCCCCCCTGCCAGTGACTACTAGTGGCCTGGATAGTAAATGGGAAATGCGGGGGCCCCCTTTTTATCACACACTTCCGCTTCCCCATTCTTTCCAGGGATCCCCTCAAACACCCAGGCGAAGCAACCGGTTTGCGGGTAAAGAACGATGGCTGAACGGCATGGGGAATCAACCTCTAGAATTCTGCGGACATGTTGGCGCGCATCGTGCGCCAATCTTTGGACTTGATGCGTGCAAAAGCGCGCTCGTCCAGGTGGTGAATAGAGTGGGCAACAATCCAAAAGGAAACAGATACTGAAGATTGTCTGATGTTGTCCACGCAAAAGAAGAGATTCCCTGCCCCCCCCCAAAAAAAAACTATTATCTTCCCACGCACATTTGCCGTGAATAGAGCTGGAAAAACATATATACATATATATTCTTTTTGTTGGTTCACGCAAAAGGAAAAGCGGGCGCCGCTGGTGGTCTCGACCAAACCCTTCTCATTGGTTGCAAGTCAGGCGTTGGGGAAACAACAAGCGGGAGTCCCGCCCCATTTTTCCTATGCAAACAATATCGGACATCAGATCGTATGTGGCTGGTACACCCAGACAAGACTACACACAGTACATTGACAGCCCTAAGTCTGCGATGCCCTTTTTCGCGCCTCGATTCAGCATCGGAACCGGAGTTCTTTGCAGGTCTCCAAGCAAACTGTCACGCCGGCACAAAGGAATGCCAAACTGCGGAGACCAAAGGAACGGGAGGACAAGGGAGAACCTCAGTGAAGGCTGACGCAAAATGGGAAAGGGCATCTGAACTGAGGGAAGGATGCGCCCCATTTTGAGGGTTCTGCTAGAAGGTTTTGACAAATCCATCCGCTTTTGCGAATTGACTAACACCTTGACCTGTTGGAGGCCGTTGTTGCAGGACATGCCATGCTGCCCCCAAAATGAGACAAAAAAGCTATGAACAAAGCGGATACCAATGACATCCCTTGGCTGCCACATTTCAAAACCAGCATGGCGCGTCTCTCGCCGAGCCCACAAAGTTACTCATATTGTTGTCTCACAATCATGGCCCAATTGGCAGCATACCCTGCAACCCGATTCTAATTGTTTGGCCCCCCGCCCACCGATAG